CAGGCCTATAACTGAGACCCTCGGGGGGACAGCCCTGACAGCTCCTGTGGTGCTGGAATGCTGCTGTGGCTGTCAGCTGGAAACCTTCAGGACTTCACGCTCACCGAGGGGATCCGTGATGTCTGTGCAGTTGGATTTGCTGGAAGAAAACCCTGAGCTTGTTTCCTCAAACTCCAGTTAGGCTTGTTTTAAGAGCTTCACAGCTACTGCAGCCAGTTGTAGGAGATAGGGATGTGTGAGGGGAAAGTTGCATCCTGTGGAGCAGCTGCTTTGGATGTGTAGAAAATCCAGGCTTGTGGATTCTATGTGTCTTGGAGGGGGAAAGTAAACAGCAAACTCATCTAACCTTGTGTTTTAAACCAAACACACAGAGTCTTGCTCAGCACAACAGTCTGGGGAAGTATGGGGGAAAATCCCTCGCTGTGTCCCCTGGAGGTTTTTTGAACAAGACTCTTCTGACAGAGTCAGGACAGTGAGATCAGATGAGTTAGGGTGCACATAAGCTCAGCCTTAGGACATGAGAGCATCTGATAATCACATTCTGCACTGGGCTGGAGCCCTGTGTGCTCCAGAACAGCAAATGAGAACTTCACCTGAGCTCCTTTTATGGCTCCCGGACCATTAGGAATAAAAAGGCCTTGACTGATCCCCAGCATGAAAAAGCACCTAAGAGAAAAGCTGGGTAGTTAATGGGCAAATGGAGCTAATTCCCTCTCAGGCTGCAATTTCAGGTCTTGTGTAAGTGGGGTGGGAAAGTGAGACTTTGTATGTTGGAAGTAATTGATGTAAAAGCACAGGGAAGAGCCTTTCCTTCAGTCCTGTCTGTATTTGCTGAGGTGTGAGCACCTGGCTGGCTCAGCACCGTGGGGGCAGGTGGGCTGGTGGCAGCCCAGCACTCGTGTCCTCAGCCCTGGGGGCTGTGGCTGCACAGGGTCCCTGGGGAGGGTGATCTCCTGGTGGGCCACGAACACAGAGATGTTGTCAAGTGGCAGATGGTGATGGCTGTGATGTTCTTTCAGACTAACAGGGATGCCAAAAGAAAAATATGATCCTCCAGATCCTCGCAGAATTTACACCATCATGTCAGCAGAAGAGGTAGCCAACGGGAAGAAGTCGCACTGGGCTGAATTGGAGATCTCGGGTGAGTTGGTTTGGGTTTCAGTTCTGGCTGTTGGTGCCCCAGGTCACACCAGACACCTTCAGACACAATGATTCCAGGGGTCTAGCAAAATCCAGGAAGAGCCATGGCAAGACATGCTAGGATGTGAGTTAGTTTCATGTGCATCCAGGGTGAGGCTGCCCAGGAGAAGAGGTGAAACAGGGCCCTGGTGGCTCTGGCAGAGCTCTGTTCCAGCTCCTCACTGCTGCACATGCACTTGCTGAGCAGTGAGGATAACTGCAGCCACCCCCAAGCACCAGAGCTGTAACCCCCCAGAGCACAGTCTGTGCTGGGAGAGGACACTTCCCACAGTGCCTTCAAGCTTGGCTGGTTCACGTTCAGCCCAGCTGATTTAAAACACCAGCTCAGCACGGACTCAACTTTTTGGGAACATCTGCTTCCCTAGAACTGCACTTCTGTCTCTGTCCTCATTAGGGTTAGATAATGATTTAAACTCTGCTCATAGCAAAGACACAAAGGTGTCTCTGCAGCCATCCCCGAGCGTTCCAGTGAAGTGCCAGGTCTTCCCCACTGGAAATGCCATAGTGCTGACATCCCCAGAGCCTGTGTGCCGTGGTTTCAGGGTGAAGAGATGGCTCTTTGCCTTTCCCTCGCAGGCAGAGTGCGGAGCCTGAGCACATCGCTGTGGTCGCTGACGCACCTGACGGCTCTGCACCTCAATGACAACAACCTGACTCGCATTCCACCCGATATCGCCAAGCTCCAGAACCTGGTTTACCTGGATCTCTCATCCAACAAGCTCAGAAGTTTACCAGCAGAACTAGGAAACATGGTATCTCTCAGGTGAGAGCAGTTACTCTGCTTAGCTTCTCAAACAGCTCTGTCGTGGGAGTGGGACCGAGAGCGTCGGTTCTGACAGTTATTCAGGGCTCACCCCCTTTCTCTTCTGATCTCTGCAGATCTGTCACTGGAAACTCTGTAGTCTTCTGCTCCGAAACATTCTGTGCCTGCTGTTTAAATTCTCCCTGCTTTCATTTTGTGGTTTGGGGTTTTTGTGGCTTTTTTCCTTCCCTAATTAATGCATTTTGGTCGTGCTTTGACATGGGAAGATTGACATATCTTTCTGCTGCACAGAAAAACCAGGGTGAAAGTGCCCTCTTTGAAGAGTGTGTGTTTGGAGTTTCTGCTGCAGTGACACTCATCCAAAGTGTTTTTGCATTTGCTGCAGGGAATTGCTTTTAAATAACAATCTGTTACGGGTTTTGCCTTACGAGCTTGGACGTCTCTTCCAGCTGCAGACCCTGGGTTTGAAAGGTGAGTCCTTACACTTCCATATTCCTGTGAGCACTCTGCAACTCCTGAGGGCACTGGGCTCCATAGCTTTATCTGTTAGGGTTGTCTTACAGCCTGAGATGCTAAGTTTGTAGCAGAAATGACCAGGCAGTTTGTTTTAATGCTCTTAAACTTCCTTAGGAGCCTATTTCAAACCTGTAGACAGGTAAATAAACCTTTAACCTGCTGAGTCAATTTGTTCTCCTCCTGGGAGGTATTCTTTGGGTGGAAAACCTTGGGAAAGTCAGGCACTAATGACTGCTGCTTTCTGCTGTTGGCAGGCAATCCTTTATCCCAAGATATTCTCAGCCTCTACCAGGATCCAGACGGAACCCGAAAGCTACTGAACTACATGCTTGACAATCTAGCAGGTGACAGCCCTACATATGCACAGAGGGGTTCAGAAGTAGTATTTGCTCCTGAAACAAGGCTCTGGAGCACTGGAGGGAGAGCATTTCCTGAGGGCTTTAGCATTTGTGTCAGGTGGCTCCAGTCCCAGAGCTTGACATGTACTGCCTAAGCCTTTCCCATGGCACAGCCAGTTGCTCCCACTGTTTGGTTTGAAACCCTTCGATTACCAACCAAGTGCAAAGTCCTCCCTGCTGAAGCCATTTTGGTACTAGCCACTAGAAATTATTATCATCAGAATATCAAGTTTAGATCTAGAAATACCAAAGCCATGAAGAACATCCCAGTACCTGACTTAAATCCTGCTCTGTGGTCCTGTAACTGAGTCTTCTGCTTTGCCTCCTGGGGTCTCCCGGGTTAGGACACTGCAGGACTGATGGATATAGGGTGAAGTTCCTGGAGAAGAAGTACAGGATGTCTGAGCCATGCCAGGATTTGCCCCTCCTTCCTCAGCAGTGTTACCCAAGGTTCAGGAGAACTTCAGTGGTGCCTCTAGACCTGAAAGCAAGAGAGAAAAACAGTCATGGATCTTCCAAGTGACAGTTTTTCTCTTACTAGAGCTAATCATTTAAATGATTTTTCCAAGACTTGGGGATTTTGGGGGTGCAAAGCACATTATTGTTAAGACATCACTTTGACTCAGAAATTGTAACTCACAAACAAAACCCTGAATTAATCCCTGGTGTCCTTTCTTTGCAGTTCATCCAGAGCAGCTGCCTCCAAGGCCATGGATTACTTTAAAAGAACGAGACCAAATCCTGCCCTCAGGTAAACCTGTGGCTCTGTTCCCTGTGCTCACAGGGTCTTGGGCTTCACTTTCATGGATCAGGTTGGAAACAGCAATTTGTATTTATTGGTACTAGAACAATTAACATGTGGCTGTGCAGTAAATGTAATTTCTGTCATTGGAATGGGACGTTGGTGGTTTCCTTTCCGTGTCTGGCTTTGCCATAACTCCTCCAGCCACAATTGCCCAAGCCAAAGAGTTCAGCATTTCTTATCTTCAGAGGTTGCTAACCCTTCCCTTTGGTTCTGTTTCCTTCCAGCTTCATTTACAGTGATGTGTTACAATGTGTTGTGTGATAAATATGCCACTCGGCAGCTCTACGGCTACTGCCCATCGTGGGCACTCAACTGGGAGTACAGGAAAAAGGGAATCATGGAAGAAATTGCTAACTGTGATGCAGATATCATTAGCCTTCAGGTAACTGCAGTTCTCATCAGAAACACAACGTGAACCTCCACCTTCAGAATGAAATGTTCCCCCGAGAAATCCACAGCCACCTGCTTGCTGCCACATTCCAGGGCTTCCCAAGGCAGGCTGTGTGCTTGGGAGATCCATCCCCTGGGGTTGTTACCACAGAGCAGCAGGAGGGCCTTGTGCCAAAGGGCTCTCAGGGGAAACACTAGTCACTGCTGGTGTCTGGTGGCCTCTCACAGGCTTTACCCCAGGACAGTGTCCACACTCGTATGTCAAAACTACCAGGTGTCATCTACTGCTATCCAAAATACACCTGTCACTTCCCCTTTGGGAGGGATTCCAGGATATCCAGAGATGCTGATCAGTTCCCAGCAGGCCCTTAGTCTGGGACGTGCCACAGTTAGTGCCTGGGCAGGGCACAAGGAAGGGTTTCCTTCATGTAGCCTGAGGTGTTTGTGTTCAATTCCAGGAGGTGGAAACGGAGCAATACTTCACCCTTTTTCTGCCAGCCCTGAAAGAACGAGGCTATGATGGATTCTTCTCTCCAAAGTCACGTGCCAAAATCATGTCCGAGCAGGAGAAGAAGCACGTGGATGGCTGCGCCATATTCTTCAAAACTGAGAAGTAAGAGGCAGGAGAAGCTTTGTAACAACACTCTGAAACCTCAGAATGGTGGTCAGTATTGAGGGTGGAGGTTGCCCAAAGCCTGAGGCTTCCTTTTGGAGCTTTCACTGCTTCAGAAACAAAAATGTCAGGAACAAACACCTTTCAGATGATGTCTAAAAACACTCGTGAGGTTTGGAGCAGAGGAAGCCTGTGAAAACAGACCAGTGATGGTCTTCACACCTCGAAGGACACAGGAGCTGTAGGTCACACTCGTGTCCTCTCTCTGTTGCTCAGGTTTACCCTGGTGCAGAAGCACACGGTGGAGTTCAACCAGGTGGCCATGGCCAACTCGGAAGGTTCGGAGGCCATGTTGAACAGGGTGATGACCAAGGACAACATTGGAGTTGCTGTGGTGTTGGAGGTGCACAAGGAGCTGTTTGGAGCAAGTGAGTATGGCTGTGGCTCCCTCAGTGATGGTTCAATTCCATGGAAAGGCAGGAGTAATTCCTAGGTAATCCATGCTGTTCCCAGGGGTGGTGGTGGTACCAAATCCAGCCCATCAATGGCTAAGACAGGACAGAGAGGACATGATTTCCTGGTCTGGTTGCACTTGCAGCAAGATGTCCAGCATTTAGCTTTCTCCTTCCAAGCTTTTATCCCTTCTTACCCTTTTACTTCTTCTGTCAAGTGCTACTCAAACTTTCCCAAGGTCCCTGTGTTCACACATATCTGCTCGTATCAGGAGTTGTCAACAACGTTCAGCTTCTATTCTTAACTCTCCTTTTCTCCCCTTGACTGGCTCCTTCCACCTCCCCCAGTGATCAGATGTCAGTGCTGACATACTGATGTGGAGGGAGGAGATTATCAGGGGTCCCTTCCTGCCCCTGGATTGACTGTCACATTGTCATTCAGTTTGATCAGACGCAGCAGACAATTCCAGCAGATAAATCTGCCGCCCTGCTCTGTCTGCATGGCCAGGGTTTTGGGCACTTGCTGCCAGTGCACCTTTCAAAGGAGGAGAATGGCTGAGCCCCAGGGCTGGAAGGAGCTGCCTGGGACTTTGTGCCTTTGCACTGCTGAAGTTGTACCTGTTTTTGCAGGTATGAAATCGCTCCACGTGGACAAACAGCTGCTCATCGTGGCCAATGCCCACATGCACTGGGACCCCGAGTACTCAGATGTGAAACTCATCCAGACCATGATGTTTGTCTCAGAACTGAAAAACATCCTGGAGAAAGCCTCGAGCAGGCCCAGCAGCCCAACAGCAGATCCCAACTCTATCCCTCTGGTGCTGTGTGCGGATCTCAACTCACTGCCTGATTCGGGTACAGCAGCTTAACTTTCAACTTACCTTTACAGCATGTTGGAATCCTCCTTTTCCTCTGGGGCTGGTGGGGTGGTTTGCCCTTCCTGGGTAGGTATGGATGGAAGCTTTCCTAGGAACAGCTTGGAAATGGCTGAAGCTTCACTGGCTGAAGAGACTGTGAGGTTGAGTCATCTGCTTTTTGTGGTCGGCTCCGGGAGAGCTGGTTGCACCTACAGAGGTGTAGAAAGGCACAAACAGATTTTAAATAAGTCATTAAGTAAATACCTGTGCCTGGAGCAGCAATAAGAAGCAGGAGAACATGAGTTCCTGATAGAAACTTTGTAAGGAGAAGGGTTTGCTCTGCTAATTATGTCTTGTCTAAACCCATGGTGTGTCTTAGCAGGAGAAGGGTTTGCTCTGCTAATTATGCCTTGTCTAAACTCATGGTGTGTCTTAGTGGTGTTCCGTTTTTAACTCCCAGGCCAACATTCCCTGAATGTTGCCTTCCAGTGCAGCTCCCTGAGTCCTTTCCCTTGGCCAACAGGTGTAGTGGAATACCTAAGCAATGGCATAGTAGCTGACAACCACAAGGACTTCAAGGAGCTGCGTTACAACGAGTGTCTGATGAACTTCAGCGGCAACGGCAAGAACGGAGCGTCCGAGGGCAGAATCACCCACGGCTTCCAGCTCAAGAGCGCCTACGAGAACAACCTGATGCCTTACACCAATTACACCTTCGATTTCAAAGTAAGCAGTGGCCCTGCTGTCTTCATTCCCTGGTGTTGGGTGTCTTTGCCCCTGTTCTGCCAGCGCTGCGTCGCCACTTCCTACAGTCATGCAACGGCAAGAACGGAGCGTCCGAGGGCAGAATCACCCACGGCTTCCAGCTCAAGAGCGCCTACGAGAACAACCTGATGCCTTACACCAATTACACCTTCGATTTCAAAGTAAGCAGTGGCCCTGCTGTCTTCATTCCCTGGTGTTGGGTGTCTTTGCCCCTGTTCTGCCAGCGCTGCGTCGCCACTTCCTACAGTCATGGGATCATCAAGGGTGGAGGAGACCTGTCATAGTCAAGTCATCAAGGTTGGAAGAGACCTCTAAGATCATCGAGTCCAACCCTTAACCTGTCACTGCTGGAACCTCTAAACCCCAAACCATATCCTCCAGTGTCAGATCCAGACACCTCTTAAACACCTCCAGGGATGGTGACTCCACCACCTCCCTGGGCAATATCCCAGTGCCTGAATACCCTGACAGGGAAAACATTTCTCCTCACATCCAGTCTGACTCTGCCATTCTCTCTAGTCCTCTCCCTGCAGCCATGGCAGGAGAGACATCCCTCACCTCCCTCCAACCCTTTCAGAGCTGTAGAGAGCCACGAGGCCACCCCTTGGTTGCATTCCCCCTGGCTGCTGTTCCTGCTGCATGCCAACCCATGTCTTGCTGGAGCTGCTAAGCTTCCAGCCTGGCTGTGGCCAGGGATGCAGTGTCTCCCCTGTCCCAGGGTGGTGCCTGCACTGGGCAGGTGGGGCCAGCTCTGTTCTCACCCCGTGTCTCTCTCTCCACAGGGTGTGATTGACTACATTTTCTACTCCAACACTCACATGAACGTGCTCGGTGTCCTGGGGCCTTTGGACCCTCAGTGGCTGGTGGACAACAACATCACTGGGTGCCCTCACCCCCACATCCCCTCTGACCACTTCTCACTGTTAACACAGCTCGAGCTGCACCCTCCTCTGCTGCCCCTGGTCAACGGGGTGCACCTGCCCAGCCGCAGGTAGTGCAGCCCTGCAGGGCCACGGACCTGTTCTCATGGACCTGTACACTTGTAAATCAAAGTTCATAGGAGTGAAGTATGGCCAACCTTAAGCTGCTTCTTGGAGCTCCTTTCCTTATGTGTTTGATATGAGATTTTTGCACATTTTCGGTGCAGATTGGTATCATTTGGCACTAGGGCTGGAACCAAAGTATTATTCCCCTTTTCCAGGGTTTTAATTTAATTTTGGGGTTATTTTTCTTTTTA